TCCTTATTTCAGTGAGACCGAACAATAAGGCCCGTTCCAAACGCCGCTCCATTCATGCGCCGAACCTAACTGATGAGTTAAGTACGGCAGAAGAGCGGCGTTTGGTTCGGCAGGTTAGGTTTGGTGCGGCAAACAACATTAAATTTCGGCAGGGTCTGTCGCACTATGCGACGTTGGAGCGGCAGCTGATTCATACGGCGTTCTCGTCATGCGTCGAACCTAATGCATAAATTACTGTAATTTGTTTTTCATACAACGGGACTCGTGATTGGTTCAAAATTGAGTGGCGTGACCAGTCATGCAGGAAGCTCGAAGTCGTTGCTAAAAATAAAGACATCAAAATACAAGTATGCCTTCGATTTATGAGAAACGGGACTGTATAAGCGAGTTTCTTTAGAGCAAATTCATGTTTTGCTTTTTTTTCGTGATAATAGCCCAGCTTATTAGATTTCCCTTTAACAAGTTGAATTAACCGGGAGAAACCCTGTCTAAATACGGACACTGAACCTTGAGTTTGAATTTGCTTCCCTAAATATGGGTGACCCTAAAAGCAGGAATAATAGAATGGTGGAATCATGGAACGGCGGAAAACGACCCCACATCCTAAAAGACGGTATCGCGCAACGGCGGAAAATGACCCAGATCCTAAAAGACAGAATCGCGGAACAGCGGAAAATCCCCCAAATCCTAAAAGACGGTTCATATTGAAAGTTCCCGATAATGTTTGGTAATGTTACGATTATTTCCAGTAAATCTTAACTCGACATTATTTCCACTTTAAAGTAAGCAGCTGTAGCATATTTTCCCAAACATTTACTCATTGATTTTAGGGTCAGACGACGACGAAACCTGCGTTAATATGGTTGATATTAACAGTTCCCGTTAATACTAGTTCCCGTTAATGACCATGGTAGAAAAGCAATCTTCCTAGCTATGCAACCATGTTTTTTGTTTTTTAAGGTAAGCAACTTTTGCATAGTTTTTCACTGAAAGTCATTTAATTTTATTAAGGTTTGATGACGAAACGTCAACCTTGTGAACAGGGTTTATATTGACAGTTCCCGATAATGTTAGTTATCGTCGAGATTATTTCCAGTTAATTTTAACTCGACATTACTTTCACTTTAAAGTAAGCAGCTGTAACATATTTCCCCAAACATTTCCACATCGATTTTATGGTCAGATGACGAAATCTGCATTAACATGGTTGATATTGACAGTTCCTGTTAATGTTAGTTACATTTGATATTAATTTTAGTTGATTTATACTTTCAAATAATTACTGCAGTTTTATGGAGATTATGCAGTCAAAATTCAGGTGAAAAGCATGCAGATGTACACAAGTCTTAAAAGAATCAATCCAACGTAGGAAAAAAGATGGCGGCTGTACATTTTACCACAATGCCTTGCGAACCTAACAGAGCCTTCAAGGCACAAAGAAAGCCAAATGTTTACAATATTTGTTCCTGTACTAAGTTCATTAAGTAGCCTAGGTTTGAAGATTTTATAACGTTTCTGTACGTTTTTATGAACGTTACGGTTTTCGTACGCTAAGAACTACGGGTAAATGTACCAGTCGCCATCTTTTTTCCTATGGGGGATTCAGTGTGCTATTTTGGTTGATTGTTATGGTAATAAATGAGAAATAACTCCAGTCCTTTCGAGTCACATTAACTCTAACAACATGATGTTATATATGATATTACACATAACAAGAAAAGATAATTTGAACGCATTTGAGAATAAACTACTGTGGAGCCCTTTGGGCTGAAGCGTGCTAAATATATATATTTTTTTAATTGTGGCACTGGTGGGTAGGTTAAACAACATACCCTTACACAACAGCATGTTATTTATTCTGAACTCACTGAACAAATTGCAAGTTTTAATTTTGGAAAAACTACTAGATTACTGTAAAAAAAAAGAAAATTCTTCGTCTATCGCCCATGTGAGTTATGAAAGAAGCATTGTGTGAGAAAAAGATAGTGTTGGTTACAATCAAGTAATGAATGAAGAGTGAATAAAGCGTGTTGATTGGTTAACGGCCTTAGTATCATTATTGCCTGCATGCAGCAAATACATCAACCTTGTTCTTTTTCCTTTTCATACAAGACAGACTACATACACACTGCAGAACCTGTACTGTAGGTTTAAAGCCACCTTAAATTATCGAGAAATTATTGAAAAATTAAGGTGGCTCTGAGCCTACAGTACAGAATTTATTTTAAACTGTGCAGAAAGAGGAAAGTTGATGCGCTGATTGCATTTCAATAATAAAAAACTGGGCTCACCGATCTCGCTTTTTAGTTAAAGGCACACAAAGCTAAAATAAAGATTGTTTTTACATGTAAGAGGCTGTTTTCACATTTGACCTTATATTTTCTATGAGAAGCCTTACAATGGACCCATTGCAAGGGATGAAAATTAAAAACAGCAAAAGGTGGCTTTTCCTTTTCCTTTTCCTTAAAATTATGCGAAAAAAATACCTTCTGGCAAAAAATGGTAAAAATTTCAAATTAGGGTTTCTTCTCCAGAGATCCAGACATGTATTAAAGCAAGAAAAGAACGCTGCTGGTAAGCTCGTAAAACTAATGTTGGTTCAGCTCTGTTAAGTTCTAAGTGATGTTTTGACAGCTTCTGAATAAACAGCATTCTCCTGATACCGCAAGCTAACAGGTGACGCATGTTGTAGACCAATTTCCTTTGTTCTGCATCAATTTATTGCATTTACCAATGTATGCATTTCGTCTATTTCGCATGACAAACATTTTTTAAATACGTAACAGAAAGTTCCATTACTTTATCTTCAATGTGTCATTCATTTTCAGTCAAAATTCAGAAATAAACATCATACCAGCAAGACAGTTTTCTTTCTACTCTGTTGTGGGGCAGTGGACTGTAACATAGGACAACACACAGCAACATAGCACAACATAGTACAACAAAGCATAGTACAACGTAGCACAACATTCTGCAACATAGCACAACATAGCACAACATTGCTCAACGTAGCACAACACAGCACCAGGTAGCACAACCTAGGAGAACGTAGCACAACATTGGACAACTGCAAAACATACCGCAACAAAGCACAGCATAGCACAACACAGCGCAAGATAGCCCAAGATAGCATAATATAGCACAACATAGCATAATATTGCACAACACTGCACAACATAGGGGAACATAACGCAACATAACATAGCATAGTACAACATAGCATGACATAGCACAATATAGCACAACATAGCGCAACATAGCATAATATTGCACAACATAGCACAAAATTGCACAACTTAGCAGACATAAGGCAATAAAGCACAACAATTAGCACAACATAGCAAAATATTACGCAACATAGCACAACTTAGCACCACATGGCGCAACATAGCAAAATAGCACAACATAGTGCAATAGTACAGCACAACATAGCACCCAATAGAACAACATAGTACAACAGAGCGAAACATGGCACAACATAATGCAACAAAGGACAAGGTAGCACATAGTAAAACATAGCACATCATCATAGCACAATATGGCATAAAAGTAGACGCGTAGTGCGAAAATTTCTCCGAGCTTATTAATATTCTCCCATCGCTTTGTTGCCTTCTTCAGTCGTCGCTCAGATACTAGTATTTTCATATTTCGTTGGTCTTCATTTCCTCACGCAAAAGTAGTGGTGTTTAAAATATCATCCTCTTGTTCTTTCCATATCTCACTTAAATAGGAGAATTTCAAAGGAAAAGGTCACTCCATAAAGCTTACTTTTTTGTCTTCGCCTATAGCAAGCAAATATCCAGCTTTTCCACTCACCGAAGTTTCAGCCTCTGAAGTGCCCGCTATCCTAAAGAAATTCGTCACGAAAGAAGCAACTTCGGAGGCCGCCATTTTGAAACTGTCTTGGCAGCCAGGCCGTGTTTATGTGACGTCACTCTGTCCGACTCGAAATTGGCGGGAAAGATGTTGCAGACACATTACTTCGACTTTTTAAGCAAAATTTTCGGGAAAAGAGAAAAGTTTATTATTGTTTTGAAGCGAAATAACGGAGAGCCTTTGGTCATCGTCGGGCGAATTTTACACATTTGCAAAACTGGTGTTGTTCCGACTTTTGGTTCTTGTTGTTCGTGATTTAGTGATAACAATAAGTGCAA